CCGGTCTCTGCAGGGGGTCTAGCCCAGCAAGCACCCGCTGAGCGCTTACAGCGTGCCAGGGACCACGCGAGTGGCCAGAGACGAATAAGGGACACGGCGCTTTCCCCTAGAAGTTTATAAACAAAGAGAGGGATGCATACTCACGGACGATGTTTCTGCACCACACAGATCTATGCCAATGATTGAGTTACACGTGAACCTCTATGTGAGTGAAAATGGAAAGCCACCTGGGAAGCATCTGAGGTCTTCTCCACAGGTGGCGATTTTAAAAAACTCAATCTTGAGAATATTCATTCAGTCAGTCAGTCAGTCAGCAATCATTAAGGTCCTCCTATGTGCCAGACAGTATACCAGGTTCTGAGAATATAAAGGTGAATTAGGGGGTCCCTACTCTCCGGAGTGCAGAATCTAATTTATGAGTATTTCGGTTCAATGAAGTAATAATTTTAGTATATTTTATGAAGACCAGCTTCAACTTTCCCACCTGCCACAGGACTGAGCACACATTTGGGGGTTTAGGATGCTAGGCTTTCGAAGCTGGATATCTTATAGTGTAGCCGCTCAATCTAAAATCCTAAAAACAGGCAAACAAACATTTTTTTTTTAAAGTTACCATTTTTTTCCTTCCTATGCTGCCAAGCTAAGTAAGATGCATGAATAATCTTCATGGTTTCAAACAGTTACAACCAATATTCGATGACTGGGGACATGCCAGAGCCTGCAAAGCTGCATGAGAGGGGCTGGAGGTGGGAGATTCAGAGCCAGCTGGGTCGTGGGAAGACCATGAGGTGCCAAGGGCCCAGCTGAGAGGCTGGGCTTCTGCTGTGAGCAGCTGAGCGGAGGCGAGGGGGCCTGTCCCCTCCTCAAGCCAGAGACCAGCGAAGCTGGGTATGCACAGTGCTGGCTACTGATGCTCTCACTGTGACGGGGTGGAGGGGACAAAATGCTAGGCTAGTGGGGCAAACCCTGTTCTCGGCTCTTCATTTTAATAAATGCTCCCAGAAATAAGAGAGAATTAAGAGGAAAAGTCATAGCACTTCTAACTCTAAACTCTTCATGACGGCAACTCTGGGAAGGGGATGTACTCAGGACAGTGTTTCTCATGACGGCACGTGTGGCAGGAAGAGGGCTGACCTGGGTGGGGACTGCAGCCACAGTGACGAGCCGTGCCTGGGGTGGGCCAGGAGCGAGCGCGGGACACAGGCGGGAAGGCTGCCTTTCCCGGCAGAGCTTTCCCACCGTGTCTGCTCCCGAGAGGACACCTGTTCCTCGACACGGCCACTCACCCATTACCCGTGGGAGCAGATGGAAAGGTGAGTAAATTAACTCAACACGATACCTCTGAATCAATCGTTTTAATGCCTTTCCCATCACTTACCAATAAAAATCTGAGCTACAAACAGAAAAACCAAGTGCTTCGAATTTCCTTTCCGTCTCCCGGACTTTGACCTCTCAGGAGTTTTTATTCATATTCCTCTAGGGCGTGCTGGGCTAACAGAACACTGAGACAGGACACGCGCGTCCCGCTCACAGGGCAGGGCTTCAGTCTTTGTCAGGTGAAAAGATGAATTAATTCACGAAACAAAGTCAATAAATAGCTCATTCTGAAATGTATGGATCATGAAGCCAGAAAAGTTAAATACTCGCCTGACTCATGCTGCATTTATGGAAGAGTGGAGCCCAAGGTCCTCGTCCACCCACCCCACCCCCATCTGGTAACAACGACATCTACCAGCCACACCTTCATTAACCAACCTGAGAGAGCGGGAAGGGAGACAGGGAAACAGAGAGACACCCAGCCCACAGTCAGGGAATGCCGCACGCTTCCTTCCATTTACAGTCCTGCTATCTTTAAGAGACTCGGTATTCGTGCAAGAGCTCGAGGCAGGGTTACTACTGTAAGTTTGGTAAGAAGAGTAGCAAACAGGAACATGTCCAACTATAAGGAGGAGACAGGATCCATGTCCTCTCCCAAGAACAGAGCAAACTGGTGAAACTGTTATTACGAGATTTATTTGTTAAAAATAATTAATATAATTCCCTGAGCTCCCAGGACACACTCTTTGCTGAGGACAAAGAAGTAAAAGCTATCCATCCATCCACCCATCCATCCAGGTGCCCCCTCCAAAAAAGAAGAAAAATGCCACACATGCTTGTCCTTCCAGAGGTCACAGTCTAGGTGGGAGAGAGACATGGAATGACTGTGGTAATGCTCAATGGGTCAGCTCCTCTAAACTTCCCTAGTGAAAGCTAACTGAAGTCAAGAGGGACATGCAGCAGAGAGTCAGATGCAGAAAAAGCAATGTGAGCAAAGGTCTGGAAGCCTGAGGACACAGCATACTCAGGGAATTACAAACAGTACAGTGTGTCCAGGACAGACTTTGATCTCCCCAGTGGTTGCAGATGAAGCTGAAGAGGCTGTCTGTGGCCTGGGGGATTTCTGCAACCTTCCAGAAACTGTACAAAGAGGAGCTAAACACCTAGTGAGAGGCCTCCATTAAAGCAAAACATGTTTTTAGAATAGTTTGAGGACAGATATTAGCTCTTCTTTGAATGTTTGCTAAAATCTACCATCTGGTCCAGTACTTTTGTTCGTTGGTAGTTTTTGGATGACTGCTTCAGCTTCACTAGCTGTTACCTGTCTATTCAGATTCTCTGATTCTTCATGATTAAGTTTTGGAAGAGTGTATGTTTCTAGTAATTTATCCATGTCATCCAGATTGTCCAATTTGTTGGCATATAGTTGTGAATTAATATTGTCTTACAATCCTTTGTATTTCTTTGTATTTCTTTGGTATCAGTTGTTACTTCTCTTTCATTTCATTTATTTGAGTACTCTTTCTTTTTCCTTGATGAGTCTGGTTAAAGGTTTGTCAATCTTGTTTATCTTTTAAAAGAACCAGCTCTTGGTTTCATTACTTTTTTTTGTATGGTTTTTTACACTCTACATTGTCTATTTTGCTTATTTCTGCTCTGATCTTCATTATTTCCTTCCTCCTTCTCACTTTGGACTTTGTTTGTTGTTCTTTTACAAGTTCCTTTAAGTGTAAAGTTAGATTGTTTATTTGAGATTTTTCTTGTTTCTTGAGGTATGCTCATAATGCTATGAATTTCCCTCTTAAGACTGCTTTTGCTGTGTCCCACAGATTTGGGGTTACTGTGTTCTCATTTTCATTTGTTCTAAGGTATCTTTTGATTTCTTCCTTGATCTCATTGTTAACTCATTCATTGTTTAGTAACATGTTATTTAGCCTCCATGGCTTTTTGTGTTTTTCCAATTTATTCTTGTGATTGATTTCTTGTTTCATACCATTATGGTAAGAGAAGATGCTTGATATGATTTCAATCTTCTTACATGTATTCAGACTTGTTTTGTGCCCTAACACGTGTATTCTATCCTAGAAAATGTTCCATGTGCATTTGAAAGGAATGTATATTCTGCTGCTTTGGGGTGAAATGCTCTGAAGATATCAATTAAATACATCTGATCTAGTGTGTCACTTACGGCCATGTTTCCTTGTTTATTTTATGTTTGGAAGACCTATCCATTGATGTAAATGGGGTATAAAAATCCTCTACTATGACTGTATTCCTGTCAATCTCTCCCTTTATGTCCTATGTTCACTGCAGTGTTACTTACAATAGCCAAGATTTGGAAGGAGCCCAAGTGCCCATCAGGAGATGAGTAAATAAAAAAGCTGTGGTACATTTACACAATGGAATGCTACTCAACCATAAAAAAGAAGGAAATCTTACCCTTTGTGACAGCGTGGATAGACCTGAAGTACTATGCTGAGTGAAGTAAGCCAGACAAAGAAAGACAAATACGATTTCATGCATATGTGGAATCTAATGAACAAAAGGAACTAACAAACAAAACAGAGACAAGACTCATAGATCGAAAACAGACTGACAGCTGTGAGAGGGGAGGGGGGTTGCTGGGCTGGGTGAAAAAGCTGAAGGGATTAAGGGAAAAAAGCTCATAAACACAGACCACAGAATGGTGATTACCAGAGAGTGAGGGGGTGGGAGCAGGTGGGAGAGGGTAAAGAGGAAAAATGGTGATGGAGGGAGACTTGACTTGGAGTGGTGAGCACACAACACAATATCCAGCTGATGTACTACAGACTTGTGTACCTGAAACCTAGATAATTTTATTAACCAATGTCACTCCAATAAATTCAATTAAAAGGAAAAAAAAACCTTGAAAACCTACTGGGTCTTGCATTTCAGCCCTGTAACTGCCTCACTCTCTTTAACCACAGTCACACACTCTTTAATACTTCTGATTACTGACAGGAAACATCTCTCCACTGCTAATGTTCTCCCTTTGGGTAAACTATGAAGCTATAGTAAGAATCCGAGGGGTTCGTATTTTTGTTGAAGAATTCCTCTTCCCCTCCCCCACCCAGTTTTCAGGGTTATATTTCCTTCTTCTTATGTTAGGTAAGTCGGTGAACCATATCAAAGAATTACTGAATGGTAAATGAAAAACTGATCTGCATTCATTAAAAAAATAATGAACTTTTGTTTTCTTCGCTGAAAAGATTTTCCACTAAGGATCCATATTCAGCAGCAGAGCTTAAGAGGAGATACTCAGCATAAAAACAGCTTGGCACATGTAGGCAATTGGTTTTTAAATGGCTGAATTACTCAGAGGCTAGCTGGAGTGCAATATGAAAGAACGTTACAAGAAAATCCTGTAAGAGCTCCGTAACTTGTCTCCTTGATCTTAGTCTTGAGCCCCTAACCCGCCACCCAGATCCATCTTCAATATCTTGGACTTAAGCTACTTGATGAGAGAAGTCATTTCTTTTTCAATTTCTGTACTTCTAATACCAAATACTTACTTAGCACTCAATAAATATTGCTAATTAACGCAATGTGGAATAGTCAAGAATGAAAGCAAGGTGAGAGAGGTTATCTGGTTACAACATCCGTGGTATATATGTATTGGGTCAATCAGATCATCAAAGCTGAAGTCCGATACCCTCACTTACATAATCTCCATAGGTCTCTTGTGTTGGGGGTGGCGGTGGAGGTCTGTACCCAGTCGGGGGGACTCCTCTTGCTCTGGGAGTGAGAAGTCCTCTTCCACGACTCACTGGCCCTCGGGTGGAAAGGACTCCCCTGGAAGCTGACGCCCCTCGAGGCACCACAACTCCAACCGGCCGGGCTGTGACTCCTCCCCTTCCCCTGTAAACAAGAGGGTCAAATTAGCAATATTTGTCATTTTCTCTGAAGTTCCATCGTTCACATGCATTTACACCTCAGAAAAATCAGTATTTCTGTAAAAAGAAATGAAGGAACCATATGCAAAGTAAAAACTAAAGCAAAAGAAGAAACAGGTATCCCCCAAAAAGAAGTCATTCGGGCAGCTCGTCCCACACAGTAAACATGGTAACATCAAAATGCTCTCAAGTCCGTTGAGAACCTAAAACTGCCCGAATAAAGAAATTCTTTTTTAAAAACATGTGACAGCATTTACTGACGCAACAATATGTGTAAAATGAAATGAAATGTTTTGGGACACGTCTAAGAAAATATGTACGGAAACTATGTAAAGTAATACAAAACTCTGATGAAAGAAATCAGAGAAATGTTTCAAGCTCATGGTTTTGAGTCAATAGTGTTAAGCTGCCAATTCTTCCTAAGACCAATGCAATCCCAATCAAAGCCCCAGCAAGCTGTTTTGTAGATGGACGAACATATTCTAAAGTACATAAGGAAAGATAAAAAACCAGGAGAGACAATACAATGCTGAAGAAGAAACATGTTGGGAGAAGTCATACTATCTGATTATAAGACTTACTTTAAAGCTACAGTAATCAAGATAGTGAGGACTGGCGAAAAGACTAGACACACCGATCAATGGAAGAAAAACAGAATCCAGAAATTGATCCACAGAATTATAGTCAAAAGATCACTAACAAAGGAGCAAAGACAGTTTGATGGAGAAACGATAGTCTTTTCAAGAAATGGAGCTGGAACTAATGGATATCCATATGCGGGGAGGGAAGGCGGAGGGAAGGGGGCAGGGCAGGGCAGGGCAGGGC